AGGTGGCCAAAGTATTGGAGTTTCAGCTTCAGCATCAGTCCTTCCAATGAACACCCAGGACTGATCTCCTTTTGGGCTTTAGGATGGACTGGTTGGATCTCCTTGCAGTCCAAGGGACTTTCAAGAGTTTATTCCAAAACCACAGTTCAAAAGCATCAATTTTTTGGTGCTCAGCTTTCTTCACAGTCCAACTCTCACGTCCATACATGACCACTGGAAGAACCATAGCCTTGACCAGATGGACCTTTGTTACTAGTATATAAAAATAAAGATCTTTTTACATTGACTTTGTAGTTTGTAACCTTCCCAAATTCACTTATTAGTTCCAGTAACTTTGCATAGATTTCTCAGAATCTTCTATGTACATGACATGTCTCTGGCAAATAGTTGTTATTCTTCCTTTTTATCCTATATGCCTTCTATTCCTCTTTTTTGCGTCATTATAATGGCTAGTACTTTCAGTACAATGTCTAATAGGCATGATGAACGTGATCATGCCTTGTCTTGTTCCCAACCATGAGGCGAAAGTATTCAATACTTTGCATTAACTGTAGCTGTAGGCTTTTTGTAGACGGCATTTATCCTATTGCGGACATTCATTTCCATTTCAGGTTTATTAATTTTAACATGATTAAATGTTTCCCACTGTTTTTCTGAACCTAGTAAAGCATCAGATGGCTATTTCATTGTTATTATGGTAAATTACATTGATTTATTTTGGTGATATCCTCTTGCATTATTTTTAGTAGCTGCTCTATAATCTTTTGAAATTATAAAAAATGTTCATCAATGTAACTTTATATTTTTATTGCAACATATAATCTGCAAAAATACAATTAGCAGCCCGGGATGAGTTCTTGAAATAGATCTTGATTTAAGACTTCCCTGGTGGCTCAGGTGGTAAAGCGTCTGTCTACAATGCGGGACACCTGGGTTCGATGCCTGGGTCAGGAAGATCCCCTGGAGAAGGAAATGACAACCCAATCCAGTACTCTTGCCTGGAAAATCCCATGGACGGAGGAGCCTGGTAGGCTACAGTCCATGTGGTTGAAAAGAGTCGGACACGACTGAGCAACTTCACTTTCACTTTCTTTTCACAGAAATTGACAGGATAGTTTAAAAATTCCTCTTGGAGAAAGCCTGGGCCTAGGTAATGTTATAGGAGTTTTAATAAATATTCAAAAACCATTAATTCCTATGTGAGACAAATTATTACAAAGAAACAGAAAATAAAAAAAGAAAAAAAACTAACTACGATGAGATCAGTATGACCTTGATTCCAAAATCAGGTGAGAACAGTACAAGAAAATATAGAATTTATGAATATGAATTTTATAACATTGAATGTAATTTTGGATAATCAAATCTAATTTGGCTTTTAAAAAAATCATGATTAGGTAAGTTTTATTCCAGGGATAAAAAGATGATTCAACATCAAATACACCTAATAATATAATTCATCACATCAGTATACTAAGGGCAAAAAACTATACAATTACTTCCATAAATGCATAAATTATTTCCAGAAAATGCATTTAATAAATCATATAATAATTCTTAGTAACTAAGAGAAAATTTCTTAAGTTCATAAATATTTTATCTCCCAAAGCTACAGAAAATGCATGTAAACTTCTGGAGAAAGTTTACATGCATTCTACTTAAGACTATGAGCATGACAAGATATCTACTATTACCATAATGCTTAAAAGCAATAATAATAAAAGTAATGAAGTATAAAAATGAAAAGGGAAAAGATAAAACTGTTCTGTGTTTTTTTCAAACAATATATTCACATGAGAAGGAAACAGAAGTTTTTGCAGAAATGGATAAGGTGATCCTAAAATTCTTATAGAATTGTGAGGGATTTAGGAACGGTCAAAAGATGTTGACAAAGAAGTAAGTAGGAGGACTCATACTTTCTGATTTCACAACTTATTAAGTTATGGCGATCAAAACAGTGTGATATTACCATAAAGGCAGATAAACAGACCAATGGAATAGATGTGAAAGTCTGGATATAAACCCATGCAAGTATGAATAATTGATTTTCTAAAGGCTGCCAAGACTACTCAAAGGAGAAAGAACAGTCTCTTCCATAAACAGTTCTGGGATAACTAGATGTCCACATGTAAAAGAATGAAGTTGAACCCTTAGCTATGACAAACCTAGACTGCATATTAAAAAGCAGAGACAAAGGTCCATCTAGTCGAAGGTATGATTTTTCCAGTAGTCATGTATGGATATGACAGTTGGACCATAAAGAATGCTGAGCGTTGAAAACTGATGCTTTGAACTGTAGTACTGGAGAAGACTACTGAGAGTCCCTTGGACTGCAAGGAGATCAAACCAGTCCATCCTGAAGGAAATCAGTCCTAAATATTCATTGGAAGGACTGATGCTGAAGCTGAAGCTCCAATCCTTTGGCCACCTGATGCAAAGAACTGACTCATTTGAAAAGGCCCTGATGCTGGGAAAGATTGAAGGCAGGAGGAGAAGGGGACAACAGAGGGCAAGACAGTAGGATGGCATCACCAACTCAATGGACATGAGTTTGAGCGAGCTCCAGGAGATGGTGAAGGACAGGGAAGCCTGGCACGCTGCAGTCCATGGGGGTCACAAAGGGTCGGAATGAGTGACTGAACAACAACAACCACCCAAAAGAAATAAAAATGTATGCCCACACAAAACTTCTATGTGAATTATCTGTAATAGCCAAAAATTGGAAACACCCTAAATGTCAACAACTGGTTACTGGATAAAATGTGGTTTATGCACACAATGGAATGCTCTTCAGCAGTATAAAGGAACTCCTGACATGTTACATCATCAGTGAACCTCAAAAATATTACACAGAATGAGAGAAGCCAGACACACAGAACATACATTATATGATTCTATTTATATAAATGTTCACAAGAGGCAAATTTATAGACATAGAAACTGGGGGGTGGAAATGGGGATTAATTATAACTGGGTATGAGGGTTCTTACTAGGAAGATGAAAATGTTCTAAAACTGATTTATGATAATGGTTTCACAACTTGTTAAATTTACTAAAAATTCCTGAATTATATACTTGAAATGGGTGACCTTTATTCTACGGAAAATGNCCCCAAAAATAAAGGTCACATACAAATAAAATACTACAGGTTTTATAAGGTCACAAACAAATAAAAAGATGTGAATCAAACACATCAAAAAGGCTGCCTATAGGTATACTTATGCACAGGGAACGGCAGGGGAAACAGAAATGGAGATGAGGAGGAGTTTACAAATAAGTAAGTAAGTTATTTCTAACAAGAAACAGGCTGACATGCAACAATGATGTTTGTGAGGTATAAACATAGGAGTGTGATCCACCCTCTGCAAATGGAATCTTAAAAACGTAAAGTAAACATTTTTATAGATTTAAAAAGAGAGGAAGAAATAATTCTACATCATTTCCTTTTCCTGAAGATACTGTCATATAATATAAAAATGACTCCAAGTAACCTATATTTGTTATGATGATTATGCTATCAATACTTTAGAACCCACTAAGTTCTAAAGCAAGAGAAATTAACGTGTAGTCAAAAAAGGACAAGTATTCCCTCTACCTTGTGGGCTAAATACCTTACTACCTCATTATTCTCTTCAATATCTACGGTACTCTGATGAATTTTAGAAGCACAGAACCCAAAAAAGATAATGATAAAGAAATACTGACCTTTAAGGAGCAACAGAAAACCACGTTTGCCCGAAGTACACAATGTTAAGTTATCAGTCCTATGAAAAGTTCTGCCAAATAGGGCTTCTTGGTCAAGTAAGCTTAGAAATACTGCACACATATCCCCCCACTAATGTATGCACAATATATTGGCATATTAAAATCTAAGAAATTCTCTAAGATGTTTAAAAAACAAATCTGCTTTAATTTACAAAGCCACAAAATCTTTTCCTCATGTAACATCTTTTCATATTAGGATAAACACACTTTAGAAAATGCTTCATTCAACAGATGTTACTTGCTCATAAATTCATTCAATAAATATCTATTAGATATACCTACTGTGGGCCAGGCTCTGTTTTAATTTAGGTGCTTAGAATTTCAGTAGTAAAGAAAACAAATTTCATGCCCGTGTGGGGATTTACATTACAGTGATTATTATCATTATATGTCCTACGTTTTTCCCTATTTTATGTATAATTATAAACTAAGTATATTAGTTGACAATTTTGTCAATATAAATAGGCAAAAACATCAAGAGAGAGAAATAGAAAAGCAAGGGAAGTGCCTGAAATAGTATGTTCAGACAGAATGGATTAGATGAACTTATTTTCCAAATAGATGGCACGTTAAAGAACGATAAATTACAGCCAAAATACTCATCTGTAAGAAATGCCTAAAATAACTAGGTAATACTATGCAGTCATATTCATATGACTAATATGGGGAAAAAGTTAAAGGAGAATGCAAAAATTATGTATATATATTATGATTCCATTTGTTTAAAAAGGAACATTCTCTAAAGACAAAATTAACTTGTGTATGAGTAGAAAACTTCCGAAGACACAAATTTTAACAATGGTTGGTTACCACTAGGGAGCCCAAATACTCAGGACTTTAAAACTCTTTAAGTATTACATCATTTTAAAAAAAAGATCATATATTGCTACTATAATGAGACTAAAAAATATTTAAGTCTAATTAACACATAAGTATTCTCAGAGAAAACATAAGGGCTGAAGGGAGGCAGAAATGTGTGTTTGTTTTTTTCCTAGATTTGAGAAAATTTAACTGAAAAGGGACAAAGCAACACTCACAAACTGATTAGGAAGATACCTCAAATTGAGAAGCCTTGGGGTGATTAGGCACATGACTTTGAAATAAAGGATTAATAAAAGGACTTGATGGATTTGCCCTCTGTGACAATAGGCTGACCCACAGAAAAACAAGTTACATAAGAATAAAGTTAAAGCAAGTACCTCTGAGAAAAACTGAATGAGGATGATCTGAAATATTTAAGCAACACCCTCTCATTTCAAATATTTATGTAGCAAGTATATATAAGTTTTTCTGATTAGAAGTATTAAACCTTTATTTAAAATGGAAAATTACCTTTCTTATAAGGTGATTTTCTGTATCTGCCACATATATGGTATTATTCATTATGGCTACACCTTGTGGTGAGTTAAAACTTGACTCTGAAAAGATTCCATCTTTTCTTCCAGGGTTGGGTCCTAAAAGACAAAGCAATCATAAGAGAAAAATTTTCTTATCTCAAAGTAAAACAAACAAACAAAAACCCGAAAATAAAAACTTGTATTTAAAGCTGGGATTTTAATATAAATGATACTTCTGCAGTCCATGGGGTCGCAGAGAGTCAGACATGACTGAGCCACTGAATAATAACAACAACCTAAAAACTAAACTGTTTCCCAAGATACCTGTTTTTCTCAGGAATAAGTTTTGCAAGTGACAGGACTTACTAGATAATGGTTACTGAAATACTTCAGTAGTGTGTATCAGAAGAAATTAATTCAAAAGGCATCTATTACCTAGACTAGAAAGAATTAAAAATAATTTAAATCTTTCAGCATCTAGATGAATGATTTTTAACAATTTTGGAACATAAACTCCTTCAATAGTAACAGTGAAAATTATGAGCCCTTCCCTTACAAAAATACACATGCCCATTAAATGTCTGTAGAAGGAAATGGCAACCCACGCCAGTACTCTTGTCTGGAGAATCCCATGGATGGAGAAGCCTGGTAGGTTACAGTCCATGGGGTCACTAAGAGTCGGACACGACTGAGCGACTTCACTTTCACTTTTCACTTTTATGCATTGGAGAAGGAAATGGCAAAACAGAAAATTCCAGGGACCAGTCTATGGGGTCGCACAGAGTCAGTCACAACTGAAGCACCTTAGCAGCAGCAGCATTAAATGTCGCAAACAATTTCAAGGGGTTCACAGGTCGTGAGGATCGTTCAAGCATTCCTTAATAATAGCCCATGAATCCCAACCTAACAGACTTGGTTTAAACCCCAGCTCTACTTAGCTGTTGATCTAGGCAAGTTCTGTGTGACTTATAGCACTGTGTACATTAATACAGGTAAAGTACTCAGAATAATGCCAGGTATATTTTGGTTGTTTGTTATTATTAATAACACTATCATTGTTGATGATGAGAGCTCTCTGAGGGGGAAAAAAGGGGAGAGTACTGTGGTCACCAGACTGGAGAGTACTAGGTACTATATAACTCCTTCACATATATTCTTGAGCCACATTAGCAGAGTAAAAGATAGTAGAATGAGACCACCACCACCAAGAATCTTTTAAAGCACATCTGATCAGTATCTCCTGAGTGCATCTGACCACAAAATTCTCTTTTAAAACTTGCAGAATAACTATAAATTTATCACAAGATAACAGTACTTCTAGAAACATGTATGGAAAAGGTAGTTTGCTGCTGGTTTCTCTGTTTAACAAAGGAGAATATCCATCTAAACTATTTTGAAAATTTGAGAAGCTATTAAAAAAACTTTTAATTATTTAAATGTAACTTGCTATAACACATGTTTTTGAGTAACAATTCTCTGCCTGTTACAAATTAAGATACAAAATTGCCAAAGCAAAATAAACAACACAGAACATACACAACAGAAACAACAAACAAATGCATTCAAGAGCTAAGGGAATATTATCTTGGCATAATAACAGCCCCAGGGCTTAGGGTATGATTAGTTTATCTGCATCCTTCCTTATGTACTAACAGTGCATGTGTGACTAAATCAAGACTGCAAAGAGATGAATTACTTTTCTATTTGACTAATATGTTGTTGGATGTCATTTCAGCCTGGATGAGCAGGATTAACAGTGTACTTAGTAGATTTTATTAATTAGGTAAGATGTCAATAAGAGCCCTTTTTAGATACAGACCAGGGAGATATGGAAGAAAATGACCTACGCCTATATGATACTTTTATTTTGCTACAACCAAAGGCAATGGATTCAAAAGTATGCTTAAGTTCTTATGGAAGGAGAGAAAAGTATAATGTTATACAAATCCTAGGTTATTTATTTTATAACCTAAGTCTCAAGTTCTTAGGGTATAATCTTGGTCTTAAAAAAGATATGGCTATATTTTGATGGAAAGGGAAATATAATACTTCCATATAAAATGCCCCAAATCTAAAATGTATACAATATTTTCATAAGATACAATAAAGTGGCAGTTTTTTGAACAAACAAGATGGGATATACAGATATACTTGAAAATTATACAAAAGATTTCCTCCTTTTGATCTTAATGGGATTTTTTTGGGTAGTTTTGGTTGTTTTTGAGGAAGTGAGAAGACATTAATTCAGATACCCCACATTAATTAACAGAATAATTTCTGATGAAGTTAACAGTCAATGTATATTGCCCTTCTGTAGTTATTTATAAATTTCCATTTTAATACATTTCTCTGAATAATTTTACATATATAATGTAAAATACATTACATATCATAATCAGCAAACTTTACCTCCAATGCTGTACTGAATTTGTCCATTCTTCCAGACGACCAAAATTCTATGATGTCCAGTGTCTGCTATTACCAGTCTATTAGAAACATGGTCCACTGTTATTTTGCCAGGAAACAGCAATGGTGACGGTGGCAAGGAATCTTTATAGAGTTTTATTCCAATTTTATTAGCTCTGATCTGTCCCCTGTCTTTGTAATACTTTAAAGCTATTGAAGTATATAAAAATAATTTCTCTTTATGTCCTTCTCCAATCAAAGAAAACAACATATTTCCACGGGGTCCAAGTATGATCAGAGTTGGCCAGCAGGAAACTTCTAGTTCTTGCCAAAGGCTGGCATCTGCATCATTAACCACAGGGTGGGTGATGTTGTATCGAAGAACAGCACTCCTAATATTATCCAGGACTTTTTCATTTGGAAACTTAGCCGAGTGAACACCAACAATCAAAAGACCATCTAAATGCAAAAAATTAAAAGTTGAACATTATTAAGTATTAATATTTGACTACCACTATCCATATATTAGGGTTGAGGTCATTAATAAGTATAAACAGATAGAAAGAGAAAAGATAGGACTAAATTAGTATCTTCAACTGTATTTAAGCTCATGAATAAAAAACTAACATTTAAATCTAAACTCAAATCTTGATGACTACATAAAAACCACATATGATCAAAATCACGTAGCAACTTTAAGTTTAAAACCCTGTGTCCTTTATCTAGCTAAAGCTTTAAAATAATTATTTTATTAAAAAGATGTTGAAATTTTGTAACCTTTCCCCACCTATTTTAAGCTCCTTTAAAATTCACAAAGACTATGATTGCTTTCTGCTGGTATTGACTGTCACATAATCCTCTTAAATTTTTCTGATCTAACTACATCATAGATTAACAGAATGAATAGGAACAAGATGTTGCCATAAGGTCCTTGATTTATTTTAAAATTCCTACTGTATAGCTCTTAGAACAGATCATATTATAGATAGCAGAATTGCTGAAAACTAAAAACAAAGTATGTCTTTTACCTAATCAATACAGCATGTCAAGAAAATAACACAGAAAAAAAAAAAGTACGAAGTGTTAGGCTGGATTCACAGAAAAACTCAGTATTGACTACCAAGGTGATAAGAGGTAATAATAGCCATGTAAATTAGAATCTCCCAACATATTTATTAAAAACTATACAAACCAGTATGAAGAAAAAATAAAACCACACAAATTGGGAGGTCTAAGTACCAGAGAGCCCATCCTTCCATTACAACTAGCAACTCCAAATCAAAACACACACACACACACATATGCCTGACGGCTGAGAACAGCAAACAAAAGCAGGGAAGACTGTGAGAGAGGGGTCAGCACTTGGAAAAGCAAATTACAAGAGGGCGCGTTCCCAGCTGTATTTTGCTTCCCCTTTTCACAGCTTTGCATTGAGAATGGGCCCCAGTGAACCTGTGGAACAGTTTCAGAAGATCTATCTACTATTCATGCCACAGGAATCTTAGAAGGAGAGGAGCAAGAGATTGGGGCAGAAAAAATACATAACACCAGAGCTTCCAAAATTTGATTAAAGATATTCAAGAAGGTTAGTATACCCTAAAGAAGAGAAACTGAAAGAAAACCATGCCTACCTACATCATTAAGTTTTGAAAACCAAAGATTAAAAAAAAACAACCCCACAAACGTCTTGAAAGCAGCTGCAGAAAAAAAGACAGTAATGAGTGGCACTTTGCAGAACAAGGTAGAAGGGCAGTGGGGAGGAGTGGGAAGGCCTGTACACTTAAAATACACTGTATGTCAAATATACAGCAATAAAATTCTTAAAAAAATAGAATAAGCTCCCTGAATTCAAATTCTGGCTTTACTACTTTCTGAGTTACCTGGGGCATGGCACTAAATCTCTCTGTGTTATCAGTTTTCTTATTTTTAGACTAGGAAAATAATAGTAATTGCCTCACAGGTCAGCTTTGAGGATATAAAGATAATCTGTATAAGACATTTAGCATAGTACCTAGTACACTGTAAAACCTCAACAAATGTTCATTATTATTATTTAAGTTATAAGTACAAAGATAACCAATAAAAGAGAAATATAACAATTTCTATGTATCAAAAGAAATTAGTAATGTAAAACAGAAAAAAAGCATATGTTGACAAACAACAAATAAAACCTAATATACAAAATAACACATAATTATACATAATAATACTTAAAAATAAATGTGAATGGGTTTAATTCATCTATTAAAAAGATTCAGACACATTCTGTACATCAGAGACACATCGAAAACATAGTGAACCAGAAAAGCAAAAAATAAAGATATGGGAAAAGATATGTGGGCAAACGAAAGGATAGAAACAGAAGGGTGTAATTCTGGTAAGTAGGATATATCTGGGAGAAGGAAATGGCAACCCACTCCAGTATTCTTGCCTAGAGAATCCCGTGGACAGAGGAGCCTGGTGGGCTACTGTACATAGCATCGCACAGAGTTGGACACGACTGAAACGACTTAGCAGCAGCAGCAGCAGTAGGATATATCTGACAAGGTAGATGTCAATCCTCACAGCATTAAACTAAGGAAGAAATTTTTTAATGTGAAAAGCATTTACAACAAAGATAAAACAACTAGGAATACCCCCAAGGAATAAAGGAAGCAACTTGATAAAGCAGACACACTCCAGTAATAAAAAATACACCTTCCTCTCAAGTGTACATGGGATATTTATAAATACTGATCACAAAGAAAGGCTTATAAAGATTACATTCTAAACCACAATACAGTAAAACTGGTATTATTAACAAAAAAATTGTCTTTTGTTTCAGAAAAACTCCACTATTCTTGCATGTTTCTTCTTTACTCCTACACTAACACCACTTAAAACACTGCTGACACCAGATGGGTGGGTTTCTCCCCCCACACTAGGCAACTGTTTGCAACAACTTTTGGGTGTTCTCCATTCTAACATGCGGGCAGTCACTCACAAGACTGCCCTCCCACTTCTGATGCCAACAGCAAGTCACAGGTCCCCAAGCTACCCACACTTCTGTTCAAATTGGCCACAAATGAGATTTCCATGACCCTTCCCTTGGATTAGATTATTTGCTAGAATAACTCACAGAACTCAGAGAAACACTTCTGGTTTACTGTACAAGCGTATGATAAAGCATACAGCCAAACACCCAGATGGAAGAGAGAACATAAGGCTAGGTGTGTGGGAAGGGGTACAGAGCTTCTCCGTGCTCCCCCAGTCTGCCACTATCCCAGCTCCTCCTGTGTTCACCAACTTAAGTCCTTTGAGCTCTATACCCTTGGAAATTTTATAAACGCTTCATCACAGAGGCATCGTCCATCATTAACTCCATTTCCAGCCTCTTTCCCCTCTCTGGAGAAGAGGGATGAGAGGTGGGGGTGGTAGGGGTCTGAAATAATCAAGCTTCTAATCATGGCCAGGAAAAGAGAATAAATCAAAAGAAAGCAAGTAATAAACAAGAAATTCATGAGATAAAAAAATTTTTTTAATTCAGCATTCACTCCTGACAAAAAAATATAAAAAACTGAAAAACAGGAAATAGGAATTGACGGGTATTTTCTTTCAGTAGGAAAGTTAACCTTAATCACATTTATTGATGTGATCATTTGTTGATCAAACCTTTTCTATTTCTCTATACTGTAATTACTGCATATTATGTTACAATGTGTTTCTCTATTTGGTATGCCCGTTTTCCTTTTTTTAAAAGACTTTTTGGGGGTTTTAGGAAGGTTTTTATTTTTGTTCCAGTGGTTATTTTCTATTAATATTTTTTATCATATTATAAAAGTATTAATTCCCATTTTTATAATCTTTTATGGTCTGGTCTATCATTTTTAAATGGTATCCTTTAACTGCCACTTATTACCTATACAATTATCAATAGCCTGTTTCCCCACTTTCCCTTTTATTTCCATTTTTCTTTAGTTGCATTCTTTCTGTCAGAATATATGATTTTATATTACTCTTCAACTCTCGGGTTGTATTCTGCTGATTTAGCTAGGTTGGAACTGTTGTCCAGTAGTCTATTCCCTAGTTCTGGGTTCTCCTGGACCACGAGATGCTTTGAGAGAGAACTGGAAGGTGTAAAGCAGCCGCAGCCTGATCCTCTCCTGTGGGGAGACTGGTGCAGGGCACAGGCCCTGCTGCAGTTTACACACGCTCCTCCTCTGCGGGCTCGCCTGGAGGGCTGTGGGGGAGCGGCTGGCCCCCCCCCCAGCTGCTCTAGCTCGGCCAAATCTCCTCCTTCAGCATGTCCAACTCCTGGGCCAAGTTGAGCTGCTAGCTCCATGATGAAGTGAACAAACATATTCTGCTGGTCACCTCATGACTTAAGCTGGAAGCTGACATGGCTGCAGCTCATCCTTAAGGGATTAAGTTCAGGCATACAGGTTGTAGTTTGCCCTTGTTCCCCCCTACTTCATATCCATCTTTCCTTCTCAACTGCCTGACCTCCTGACTTCGAGTTGAGCCATCAGACATACAGGCAACAGCTACAGGTAGACTGACTAACCAGCACAAAAACGTACCCACGAGATTATTCACTGTTTCTATTAGAAACAACCTAAGAGCCTGGTGCGCTCAGCCCCTGGGGTCGCAAAGAATCAGACACAACTTAGCGAGTGAACAACAACAAGGGTCAATACACAGGACAGCAGAGTGGCTGAGTAAGTTACAGCACGTGCTCATGCACTCACAGACACACACGCACACACTACTATGCAGATATTAAAAATAACCGGGAAGTTTTCTATAAATTTATATGGAGTGACTGCCAGGAAAACTTACATGATAAAAAGTAAAGTGCACAAAAACATCAATGGTATGTCACTTAAAATAATACAAAATATTTTTAAAGAAGAAATTTAAAAAAGAAAAAGAACAGGACAAAAAGAATGAGAAGGTAAGAATAAGCAGAAGAGATGGGTAGATGGAACTATATTTTCTATGTGGTTCTGACTTTTAGACCAAGTTATAATTCTTCATGAAGTAGTGAATGTGTTAGTCACTCAGTCGTGTCCACCTCTTTGTGATGCCATGGACTGTAGCCTCCCAGGCTCCTCTGTCCATGGGGTTCTCCAAGGAAGAATACTGGAGTGGGTAGCCATTCCCTTTTCCAAGGAATCTTCCTGACTTGGGTCTCCTGCATTGCAGGCAGTTTCTTTACTGTCTAAGCCACCAGGGAAGCCCATAGTTTTGCATACCTAAAAACAAACAATATCAAATAAAAATGGGGGGAGGGGGGCTAACAATACAAATAAAAACAAAAGAATCTTGCTGCACTTCAAATGAATAACATAATCTCACGGGGGGTGGGGAGTACGAGGAACTAATTTAAATAATTTTTAAATTTAGCTGAGAGGGACTGGAAGCAAAGACACCCCAGTACCAACAAGCACATCTAGTGTCCAGATCTTATTTTCTCAAAA